GATAGCCAGCTGGATCCTTTCTTACACAAAACATGACGTCACTTAGCACTGCCCTGCAGGTAAGGATGGACATTCCTCTCAAAATTCCGGCGAGGACCCAAGGCGACTTCTTCTGGAGTATCACTGCTGAAGTTGTGTTGTCTGACAGAGCTTCACATGGTAGGTCGGCGACCATTGCAAGCTTGTTACTGGCCCACTTCACAATTGGGAGTCCGCCAGCACAAAGGGCTTCACACAACTTTCCCAAAAGCTGCTTGGCCTCATCAGCTGTGGGTTTTCCATCAAGACAACTTTCTACATGAAAAGCCTCCAGGACTCTACATCCTACGACGAAGAACGTCTAGTTCCACTACGTTTTCCTTACGTGCTTCTGGAGAGCGAAGGATGCACAGCACAGACTGCATGTTGTCCCAAATGGAAGGACGTTCCATTCAAGTTTTTCAGGTACCCTATCACAGTCGGGTTCCTTCCAGAGAAAGCTTAGCATAGATCGGTCGGCTTCCAAAGTGCACTGAAACTTCGTCTTGATGTCCCCACATATGGCCACTGCGTGTTTTCTGAATCAGAGGAGGACACCAACTAATGATGACACAAGAGTAGGGCCTGAAGGTTTTCGTTCAAGGATTCACCTCGAAAGGCAAAATTGAAGACAAGGCGGGACTTGTCATTCTGGCACACATTATGTGGAATATACCATTGCGACTCTGGTTCCGGTCTCTCCTTGGTGGACAACAGTACGGACAAGGCCTCCTTCCTTGAGTTCCTAGATTTTGCTACAATGAATCTTTGCCAGATTGGGGTCTCTCAACAGGCGCTGTGCATTTCTATTCAGTGAGGGCAGCATTGCACTGCCTGGACAAGAGAATATGGGTTTATCCATAAGTTCACCATAAATTGTTGATTTATTTGAAACTTAAATACACAGTAACCACGGATTTGAAATAAATTGCCATGAAATCATTTATCGATGATAATCATTAAAAATAGGTAGGTATGTGTTTTATTCGCCCTTCCCACAGAAGGGGGCGGGGGTTAGCGTAGCTGTTCTGTCCTCGCTTTGCACCAATGAGGTCTGGGTTCGAGTCCCAGCTTAGCCAAGGCTTCATGTGCATTTGGTTTCCAGTCCATATACTCGGTCTGGCAGGTTTTCTCCGGGTACTCCGGCTTCCTCCTGCCTCTAAAACGGGACCTTGTTCCTAACTAACTCCGTAATGTGATGCTGATTAATAAAGGTCAATAATAAAGGTTATGAATAAACTTATAGTTACTGGGGCAAAGCCTGAGTGACTGAAAGCGCTATTAAAACAGTAACTTCCCTCTGAAACACAATCTTGTCGAAGCATTGCAATAGATATTCGACACCGTTATGTTTACGCGCACAATCTCTGTACGTGTGGCAAATTATGTAATGGTACCGCCCACGTGATTCTGTGTGTGACCTGCGTTTGACCCCAGGCCACAGTAATGAGTAGTCATGAACATTCTCGTCGTACGTGCGGGAAAACTAACGATATTTCTAGTTATATAATGGATTTTTTGGAAGTTTCTCGTAAGATTAAGTAATGCTTAAAATGTACTTTGAGAAACTTACGTAATGATAGAAATCTCTGGAACAGTTGTAGACTATAAAATAGGGAAATGGCAAGAGAGATATGCACACCGCAAGAGAAATTTTGGAAGGCAATTCTACCATATGTGGGCTGTGAGAAGTCTTTGACTTGTTGACTTCTGCACCATTTCAACCTGTGGTGGAGAGTCGTCTGTGGAGCGACACTTGTAAGAAGAGTTCGTCCAGAACAAGTGAAGTGCGGGGCTGAATCTTGATCCGGAAAAGGCAGTTTGTGAACTGAATCCAGTTCAAGTTTGTGGGATCATCAAGTCCCCGTATTTGCGACGGTCATCACGCCCTCGCAGTATCGTCTCAAACTTGGTCATTCTTATTGGACGCGGTCTTCGTTCCCGTTGCAGCTCATTTTTTGCACCGCCAAGGACTGAACTGCCATCTGTGGAGTCCAGCGGTCTTCACAGTAGTACCTTGCCAAGTTCTCGCCTGTAAGAACACTTTGTTTATATGAGATGTTCCTTATCATTGTAAAATAGTTTCAATCAACATTTTCTTTGTTACTATTTTATTTACATGCTAAGTGTAACATTCTCATTAAATCATACTTATCTATTTGTTTCTTATATCATTGAGAAAATTCAAGCTTTACAATAATTATATAGTTTGGAGTTTTTCGAATCGTAAAACAACTTAATTGCTAGGGTTAATGGCACACATTAAACCGTAGCTCCGGTCCCTACCCACCCTGACATGAAGTGCACCCTCACCGGCGAAAGAAAGACAGATGGTATAGTTTTCCAACGGGTTCTTGCACGTATTTGGCGTGTACACGAAGACCATACTCATTGATACCAAAAGACAAACGGATAGATCGGAAGCGTGTAAAATACTCAGGTTTGCCTGGGCACAGCATTGATCTCCATCATAATGGAGATCAATGGGGTGCAGCCATTGGTCATGTGAACACTAACTAAGCTTTTTAATTTGGACAGATCTGTTCAAAAGATTTCAGAACTATCAGTTTGGATTTTCGTCATCGAATCATCCTAAGAGGGTACCTCGAATATCAGCTCTTTTTTATCCCTGGTGGAGAACATTCCTCCGGCAGCGGTGATATGTTTCAATCCCAGAAGATAACCCAAGAGGATAAGAATGAATAATGTTTTTGGATCCCCCATTTTTTAACCAAACACCATTTACCGTTGGAATCCCTTATACCTCCAAACGCTCTACCCGTGTTTTTGAAAATCAATATATTTCCTTGTAGGGTCATCTATTTGGCAATTTTATCTTTTGTTAGTAGACTTCAACAATACCCTAAACCGTGTAAAATGGAGGGGTTATTTCCATGCATTCAATACAGATTCCCCTATGGAGACCCAAAGCGGATGAAGATCTAGCCATAAAGAAAAAAGCGAACCAGCAGAGACAGGTCTTAAAAGGTAACCTATAAAGAACAGCAGACTCTGCCGCGATCACTTTCCTGACGAATGCATTCAAGTGCGATGGGGGAGAGCATTTCTGTGAGACAGATGCTGTGCCATCCATATTTGAAGACTATCCAGATCACTTGAAGTCGGTAATGGCAATTGAATTATCTAATGCAACGTCAAATTTACGTAAGCATGGAATAAAGTTTGTGGTTTCACTGTCTCCCTTGTTAAACTGTCATGTTTTTCAGCCAAATCTCTGTCTCGAGCCTGGACTTCAATCGCCAACAAAAAAGAGAGAAAGCCCTCCTATGGAAGACCTGTCTCAGATCTTAGCCGATAAGGCGTTTGGCTCTGGCGAGCACGTACTGGCTGAGCATGCATATACAGTTGTCCTCAAATGATGACTCCTTGAGGAAGCTCAGGAGCGCACCACCACAAACAGTTGCAGAAAACAAACAGGCAGTTAACAACCAGATTTGCATCTGTGAAGGGCATCGTTCGCAGTCCGAAAAAGGAACAACTTGTTCCAGATGACATGGTTCAACTCAGTACCTCGTCAGGTACATGTACCTTGTCAACTGTGTTTGTACCTTCAACCCTGGGCGAAACTATTGGGACACTTGGCAATAGCCGTACGCTCTCCAGCCACCTCCCCCATGACAACAAGTTGATCGGTGGAGTCACCGATCAACTTGTTGTCATGCCTAGCTGGAGCGCAGACCACGCACATAGACCCAACATTGAAAGGGGGTCTGGGGCTTGGAGGCCCAACGAGAGTTGTCCAGGATTGTAGGTCTGGTACATTTGATGACATTACGTAGCCCTCAATACTGCACTGAAGCAATTCAATCGATCCCATCATTTGGTTTTTGTTTTCCAGTTTCCTGCTAACCTACAAATGCAGCAAAGATCACATTGAATTGTCTCTTGGTGCTATTAGGGGTAGAGGTGGACAAAACAATAATCCCTCCGTCACACAGTTCAAGTGAGACATTAACCAATTATGTATTTTAAAGGATGTAAAGATTTTAACTTACGTTGGAGATGCTTGCAAAATGGATGTAGCACAATGTTTGCAAATACATGTAATATAATATTGTACCCTCCTCTTCCTCAAAACAGACGTGCACAACTTCTAAAAGTGTCACATTAACCCATCTTCCAACACCAATGCAACAAGCCAAGATGACACCATAATGCTGAGTTCGGCACTGCCACAAACACCCGATACTTCGACCACCATTCCATCCGCTATTCGATCTTCGGGCACACTCACAGATTTCGATTGCAATGTAATTACACACATTGCAGGGTATGTAGTCAGAAAGCTCCTAAAAACGATCCAATGCGTCAAGTGCATTGATTCCCTTGTGTGACAACCGACCGGTCTTGCTCCTGAATTAATTAGATCTTCATATGATAAATCTCACGATAACGGGGGCCTGATATACACATCTCAAGATGTCTTGGTAGTGTGTACAGCTGCAGAGGGGGGTGTTTCGTCTGTGTAACAGCAAGCAGCCATCTTCAATGCCCCACTTCCTCTCCGTAAAAGTACATCGCACCGTTCAGGAGATGACTGGAAGTAATGTGTCCCTCTCCTTGGAGCACGCCTGGGATGCCCCGACTGGTGAAGGCCAGCAACGGGATTGATCTGATGCGGCAAGTGGCCCACCACTACTTGAAATCAGATCATGCGATTTAGGTAAGACAACAACTAAAGGGCTACAAGGAAATAAAGTCAGACGACTATATTCCAAACTGGTGCTTGTAAAAGGACAATAAATCCCCACCACACCATTGCACTCTGCAATGTTCCAGCAAAACTGGAGCAGCAAAGCCTCCATTGACTCAGGTAGTCTTTGTTCCATTCGTACAACATCCAAACCTATACAGTCTAAGTGATCCTCAGCATTATGAAAACGAGCTCGTGTTGGCCTGGCCAATGTGAAATCGCGAGACGGAATTCAAATAGCATATTGAGTATAGCAATGATCCGAAAGCTTCGTTTTCAACTGTGGTGCACTTCTGGCCATGTAATAGGCCGATATACTTAAAATTCTGGGGTGAATTGTCGTGACACTGCTCAGTAAAATTCCCATAATACAAGTTCACATTTTATGCCTGGCAGAAAAATTCAACATTCAATAAACACACCGAATGTTATGTAGCCCTTGAGCAAACGTTCCTTGTATAGAATGAGATCTTATGGTTAATATAGAGGTTTAAGAAGAACTTTAAATTTGACCTTCCGTTTCACAGATTAGTTCTTTGTACATTTCTTTGTGTGAAAACAAAGGACAGGTAATATTTATTTCAACTAGGCACTATTTTGTATTTTGCGATTTATATCGTCGTTACATACATGTACACGGATAGCATTTTAAATATTAAATGGCAGTATCCGGCTGCATATAATGCATACAAAAAGACCAAAACTGTGCAATGTAGTTTTTGTACGGGCTTTATCTTTGCCCATTGCTCGTCGCCCTGTTCATGTGACCTTCTAGCACATGAAAATTCTCTGCACAAGCAATGGCTCGCGCGCATGCATTTCCCATCTAGATTTTTATTCTTTTGATTTAGGGCGTTTACGAAACGAGTGCTCAGGCTTTGTTTTCGCTGGTTCCAGCCATTTGAGGAGACTCTGACCATGCCAACTGGACCCAGTGAAGCCAAAGGCTAAGCCCAAGCCATCCGTTTTGAAAACGCCAATAGACGCATACCCATTGGAAATCAATGTGCATACCAGACTACGGGCGTTTACGAAACGGGTGGCTTCGGCGTAGTCTTTGGTTTTACTGATACCAGTCGGCATGGTCGGAGTCTCCTCAAACGGAACCAGTGAAGACTAAACCTGAGCCACTCGTTTCATAAACTTCCTAAATTCGTTGCGTGTATTCAGCGTGCTCCGCGTCAAACGCGCTTAAACTTGCGCGCCTATGTGATGAATACGTACCAAATGACTGTCAATTTCATTTCAAAACATTTTTTGTTCCTGTTCGTAGCAGATAGGGACGGGGACCAGTCCAGAAACACGGCGTCCACAAAAAACAGAGTTTCTTAAGAGTCGCTCAGCGCCCGAACAGACCCATGGGATTGGGGAATAGAAGAAATATGGCACTGAACCTCTGACGCGGACTCAGGGCTTCCAATTCTGAGCAATTTGGCATCAATTGGGTCTGAAAGTGGCGCTATTTTAGCCGTTTTGCAGAGGGATGCATTTTCAAAATGGCTACTTTTCTGGGTAGTGAAATTTCCTTCATTTTAGGGATACAGATATCAGTGAAGGAAATATGTCAGACGGGGTCACAGCTAACGAAGCGCAGTGGGAAAATTATCTGCATTACACAAGCCGTGGTTATCAATTCGATATTTTTCTTTTTTTCTTTCCTGGTTGCTGAAGAGTTTAACTACATTTTATTCGTTCATCAAAAATTTATCAAGACAACCACAGAGCTATATATATATATAAAAACTAGAGAACTAACTTCTCATTCTCCGCGCGGAGAAAATTTGTCACCGTCCTGGGCGCAGAAATTTTGAATCCATGTTGTAGAACATTCAAAATAAGAGAGAATAGATATCTAATTTTGTTTTCCAAATGCAACGCCCAAGTACAACATACGGGAAGTCAGTGCGTCTTTTGATGCAGTATGTACATCCATAGCTGATTATTTTAAAGCGAATGTTTCTCTAATGGTGGTGCGCTGCGTTTCAGGAGGGGCGTGATGCTGTGTGCCGATTTAAGTCAACATTGAGTATGGAGAAAACCTTTTTCTTATGGGACAGCGGCTAAACCTCGGACTTCCTCTCAAAAACAAGCAAAAATAAACAGAAAATGCAAGAACGTCATTTTCGGAGCTGACCCGTTCCTTATTAAAATAACTCACTCAAAATCGATAATGTTAACTTGTTTGTGTACGTGTTTTTTTATTTATCTTTTTGCACACCTGTTGTGTACGCAGTCTTGCTCAGGCAATATTTTCACTTACGGTCTGTTCAATCGTGATTGCTTCAGTGTGTAAAAATTTGAGAATTCCACCAAGACTCACAATTAAGTTTTGCCTGTAGGCCTAAATATAATGATGTCTAAACTGTCCACGTGTTTTCCGTCTGATTTCGATGAGCCAACACTGAAGAACATTGTCAATAAAAGGAAATGAAATAGTCTTAATTTTAATTTTACATATTCACAGGAAATATTGCACTGAAATTCATTCATATAATGAATAATTATGAAATCCAACATGTGGCATACAGAAGTGTAACAATCTTTTTTGTGGAAAATACCTGAATAATTTAAGTGATATCATTCAATAAATGGTTTTTGGAAAGCAGAAGGGTCAAGGGTCATGTTCGTGTGCAAAAGAAATTGCGCCCACGATGATAAATAGGTGCGCCGAAATGTTCAATACGCCGACAAGACATTGCGTATACGGATGTGTGGCTAAGGATGGAGTGGGAGTGAGAGTCCGTGCCAAACTAGTGGGGCTAAGCTCAAACATTATTCTTTCCAAATTTAGCCATTCCAAGTGCAGAATTTAGTTTTTTAAAAATCTGACGATTGAAGCAAAATAACCTCAACCAGTTTTTAAAAACTCCGTTTGAAAGTGCACGCAACAAAGTTTGCAACGCTTGTTATTTACCCTCCTGAAAAACGCATACGCGAGATGCGTTTTGGACGCGATGCCCGGACGCGATGTCCTCTCCACTCTTTATGATGGATATGAATGGTGTAAGTGAATTGACGGCTCTGGATCAGCAGCTGTCGTGCACATCGGGTACCAATAAAATCCAATTAAAAAAAAACGTCACAGCAAAATTCATGTACAACGGATAGGTACGCGCGCGCGCTTTTGTGTATTTTTGGCGCAGAGCAAAATGAATGCTCATTTACTGACTTTGCGCTCTGGTTCTTTGCGTGTCGGCTTTTTGACGTATCGTTTTAGAATGCAGACGCAGATTTGCAAATAGCCGTACAAAATAATGCCGAACAAAAATTAATTTCGAGTTTTCCATAGGTTTGTGCACAAACACGGATGAGCCCAGCAGGCATCACTTTGTACACGAGTCAGCGCTCTAGTTTTTATGCATGTATGATAGCTTTATAAAGATAACCAATGATTTGAAATACTTCAACCAAAGACACGTGATCTGTGATACTGGGAAGATAAATTACAACATGGTGATTGTGCCAAGGCCATGATTTTATCAGATAGCCGACACTTTGCCCGTGTCATGCATTGGGCTACAAGCAAATTTCAGAAGTATCATTTACCAAAATAAAGCCGACAGTACCGTACTACTCAGACTACTGATGTGCTGGGTACTATACTGTAACTTTGCTGTATAATACTACTGTTTGTAAACAGCACTCAAAACACACGTTGCTATGGGGTTGATACCCACTACAGGTCTCCCGAGTCAGCGGGTGCAATCGGTCTATTGTGTTACACATTGTCGTTGGGGTTGAAAGCTACGCTGCCAATCAGGAATTATGGTATACTGTCCTCTGCAGAACAATCACTAAAGACAAGTTGTCTGTCGAATATAAAACGTTCTAACGTGTTGCATGGAGCAAAACAAAAATGACAACTAGATTTAACCTCCATCCATTTGTGGATTTTTGGGTAGGTTGGGAATCCTTTTTGGCAATCTGTTCTTAATTTGTTTTATTTGCGTTCCATACAATGTACATGCAACCTTACAATCAAGGGTTTACGCGCACTATGAACACAAAAGATCTCGAGCAAATAAAGCCAACCTGTTCACAATGCTGTATACAGTCACACGCTAACAATTGGTTCTAAAAATAGGTTTTGTAATATACAAACAACAGTGCGGGTTGCTTGCATGGGTAGATTTCGGTTGATGCTTGGTTTGGGAAAATGTGAATTGGATCCTGATTCTGATCCTGATTGTATAGTAGTAGCCAAGCAACATCTGATGTTTGCGTTATTTGTTGATACCAGTGTATACAATGAACTCGGCAGACTCCAACATCAATATTCTTCAGCCCAGCTAGGAGTTTCTTGCGTTGCATGAAAACAATTTCTGTGGTTCAGTCATCATTGTTAATACATGTACATGAGCTTATGATACTAAAGTACTGGCGATTTGAAGTGACAGAAACGCCGCTATTGTATGTCTTGTCGGATTAAAAAAATTGTGGTGGTGATTAACCGTTGGTGATGAGGTAAGAAAACGTTTTCATCCCTTCATTCATTCTTTCATTTATTTTCCACATTCCTGGTGTTTCAAACTATACAAAAACGAGAGATAAATGTATCGATAGGGTCCCGAAGAAGCAAGTTCTTGTCAAGTAGATATCCCAAGTCTTGTAACCCTGTGAAAATAAGCAAGTGTAAAATTTAGATGTCCAGTTCGTAATTTGGCCCTATATTCTCGTTTGAATAATGAAAGATTCCATGTTGTAAAAGAATATAGGGAATTCCATAACTTGGTGAGAGCAATCCTAGCTGTAGTATTTCTGAAGTGACGTCATCATGACCCCATTCATTGATTTATTATTAGTTTTTCACGATTTTCATGTATACGCATTTGCATGCATACTATCTTCCTGTCGTAAATTCTGAAACTTAACCAAGTCAAATTACTTTCAAATTCTGAGGAAAAACTGTAAATTGCAATTCTATGTAGAGGTTAGCACGATTTGTATTCAAGAACCAAGATAAAGTAATAGTGCAATTTACAAGTATGATCGTCTAATATACACGGTTACCTTTGCCCTCAGTTCAGTGTACACTACTCACGAAAACACCCGTGCTGCCGCTACCATGTACTAGTGCACAAATGAGGAAAACGCCTGGTGTCCCGCATCTTTATGTTTGGACCGCGGACGCGGTCCAAACATAAAGCAAGGACTGGTCCGAGTGATTGGAACTGTGGGAATCACCCTTTTTAAACATTTGGGCGTGGTTCAGCGACTTTGCCCAAATGTGTATGTTAACAACGCGATTCATGTATCAGCAATCCATGCCAGAATGTTTACTAGGCCTAGTTTCGATGTGATGCTGGCTTTCTAATTTATCGTGTGTGGTCAAATAGTGTGTGTCCGTATCCATGACAGGGACTTCGAAGGCAGAACTGGCGAAAAAATTCGGACCTGCAGTGGCAAGTAAGAGTACCACGTCTATATAAATGTAATAATGATGTGATGTTTTGTTTTAGTGGGTGTCTTTTCTGTTTGGATTAGTCATTGTGTTAATTCTGTGAAAGGTAGACGCAACATTAATCGATTACCTATTCAACCTGTACATGTGATTATGTATCGACAAAACTTAAAAAAAAAATTTTCAGCCAATACATGCATAAGTACCCATTCGAAGTAGGTTGTAACTGGTTGTCTCTCTTCTTGATTGGATATCAGCCAAGTGAGATGACCTGGTAGATGCCGTTCACAAGCTGGGGTAAAAAGGGCAGTTGTCAATTGTTGAAAGTTTCACAATTTGATTCAGGGAAGCCAGTTGTCACATTTATTTTAATATTACAAGAAAAACTTGAATGTACAGAAACCTTGACCCCAATAAGTACCATTGTGTTCAACAGGTACATGCCATAGTGTGTGTTTTCAGGTAACCTTGATGCTAATAACTGCTAAAAACACATGTATGCTCTACTTTTAAATCTGTTTGTGAATTTAATCCAGTTTTGTTTGACTTGAGCATGAAAGTAGTGTCAGTAGCATTTATAAAATGCCTCGTCTAAACTCACAAAGACAGTTAAACCATTGCAAATTATCAGTGCTGTCCGTGTTATATAATGTTCATGATTAGTGAAATGCCACATTCCAGTTGATAAGGCCTGAGGCTTCTTAACTGGAAGCAACATCAAGTACAATTATATTAGCACTCACCCGAGCTTTTCAAGTGTAGAAAATGACAAAAACAGAGCACTCCCATTTCAAAGCTCTGTGGTTGTTCACAGCCACATTCCTCTATTTTGTTTTAAATATACAAAATAATATGTTGAAATACTGGAGTTTTGGATAGATAATCCCCTTCCCTTTATCTAAGCTGATGTTTAATACATTTTTGATGAGAAGGGTTTAATTGCATCAGTGAAGCCAATGAAGTGTATAGATCAGATTTACTATCAAACAAAAACGATACCATTTTAAATGACATAGTGTGGGGTTTTCGACATGGATTCTATAGTTTTGCGTAAAATCTCGAGAGCTTTTCACATTTTCCTAATTTGTACTGACTGGCCTTGGTGATTTCGCTACAACACCGAAACCATCAATTTTCCTCATTGTTGCTAAAAGTAAAAATCCATTTTAGATATCAGATCCTCAGGTTTGACGCAGAAAGGTTTGTTTTCAGACATTCATTAACAGAGACCGGGGTCGTTTCCACAGCCCCTCTAGCATATCAATCTGACGTTTTCCAAAAGTGGTCTACAGCTAAAACCTTCCAATTTCTCAGAGGCCACAATACCAAATTTATGTAAACAAAATTCTCTGAGGAGTTTGAGACATTAAAATATATACTTTTCTGCCGTCTACTGCATGTCTGCACCATTTTGGGGGGAGTATACTGTGATTTCCAACAGTGAATCCGGCATTTTCGAAATCCAGACACAAATCCATGTGACGATAGTTGAGAGCAAAGGCAAAGATAATGGTACAGGAAAGAGTACGAGTCTTTAAATTAAATAAGGCCCTTCCGAATCCGGTACCTACTTTGGGGGCAGATTTAAATTTGCGTGGGCTACTTATAGCCTGTGGCTGGTTTGCTACTTAGACCTATGTACATGCTTTGCTGATTGAACTTCGAGACGCTAGCATCAGTAGATCTTATTCACAAGGAAGCCAATTTTGATCATGTTTCCTTAAACTATCCTATTCAATGTAATCTGTTAAAGAGCAGGTGCCAGATTACTTTGGGTTTCATTTCAGCGCTTTCAGTTTTATTCAAAGGTGTCAAAATAAAAAGGTTGTTCTCTTTACTTTCAAATAAATGTGACCAACTTATGAATAAAAGGCCATTTGAGTGTTAAAATAATGGAGAGGCAGGAGGCGGATGTGGAGTCAAGTATTGATATAATATATAATATTGACATAATATAATTATTAAGCCATTTGACAGCGATCAGGTGCCAAACGAGTGGCTTGGAGGTTCAAAGCGAGAATTAAGGTAGTGGGGGTTAAGTTTCCTAACGCACTTGCAGACCTCGCACAGTCGTTAAGAATGGCAGCGTTGAGGAAGTGTGGTCCAAGAGCGTGCTTCGTGTAAGTCAGCAATATGAGTTCTGTAATGAGCATTGAGAATTAATCTCCCAAGTCGGTTGTGCAGCTTAACAAGTCTCTCAGTATATTGCCGTTAGAACAACTGGACCACGCAATGCTACGATAATCGAATAAAGGCAAAACCATGGCGCAAATAAGCATTTTAAAGATCAAAGCAGGAAGACAAGGTTTAGCGGAACGACGAAGAAAACTTATTTTTGCGAGATTTTCTTAGCAACAAGGTTGAAGTGATCCGACCCTGATAGTGACTCGTCCAGCATAGCCACCAAGTATTTAAAACTACATGTATTGACACGCTCCAGAGTCTCTCCGTTTGAAGTAATTTGAGTATCCTCAACATGAGATAAGCGATGGTGGGTGTCAAAAATCATGAATTTTGTTTTGCTATTATTCAGGGTGAGCTTGTGTTCGTGTAACCATTTACACACCTGCTCCATGCCTGTCATCATTTTATCATTCAGAAACTCTGTGGAGTTTCCATTGAACATCAGCAGTGTATCATTTGCATACATATCTATTTTGCATTGAGGAACAGTAATGCTTGATGGGAGAGAGTTAATAAAACCAGTAAAAAGCAGAAGACCTAGTATCGAACCTTGTGGGACTCCGACTTGAACACTAGCAAAGTCTGATAAAGCATCGTCAATTTTGGTAGCCTGTACCCTTCCACTTAAATAAGACTCGAACCATTTCAACTCAAGGCCCCTGACCCCAAAACCATGTAATTTTGATAGAAAATGCCATGATCGACTGTGTCAAATGCTTTTTTCAGGTCCAGAAAAACTGCACCTGTAATGTTACCAGAATCCATGTTATGCAAAATGAAATCAGTAACATCAAGAACGGTGGTCTGAGTAGATGATGCGGTCTGAAACCCGACTGCTGCTCAGCAAAAAAGTTTATCTGATCGAGGAAGTCACGAAGTTGATTATTTACAGCCCTTTCCAGAATCTTAGACACAAGTGGGAGAACTGAAATGGGTCTGTAATTACTGATCTCATCTCAATCACCACCTTTGAATACTGGGGTGACTCTTGCAGTCTTCCATTTCCGAGGAACAAAACCTGAATAAAGGGATTTACACTTCGTTTATAAGACAGGTCAGCGACGGGCATATGGTCGGGCATGCGGATTTCACTAGCTTGCAAGAGATGCCACCAATTCCTGTGGCAACAGATGGATCCATTTTCTTAATCTGTTTTTCAACAAAGAGAGCTGTAACTTGCAAAAACATAAAAGAATAAGTATCTGTGCCAAGCGGTGAATTACTGCCTGCAGCCATTTGATCATTGTGAAATGTTCTAGCAAGCTCCTCGCCTATCTTTACAAAGAACGAATTAAAAGCATTTGCCAAGCTTGTCCGAATTAGACGGTTAAGTGACATTGTTTGTATAGGAACTTGCTTCCTTGGCCAATGACCACAGCCTCTTTGAGTTCCTTCTGCTATTCTTGATTTTGTTTTCATAATAATTTCGTTTTAAATACTTGGCAAGATTATTGGCTTGATTCCGTAACTGCTTAGCAGTACACCAATCATCGTCATCAGATGTCTTCTGTTCTCTAGTCTTCATGGCATTCCGTTTGAAGCATTTCTTTTGTAACCCAAGGGGTCTTGTACATGTATTTTGTTCTTTGACGAATTTCCTGATAAGGCGCATGTCTGTTGCAGGCTTCATTCAACGTTTGCTCCACATACCCCAGGCTTCATCGATACCAGATACTTTTTCAACAGATTCCCATGGCAAGTTAAGAAACTCATTCAGAAAAAGGTTTTCGTCAGAGTTTTTAAAATTTCTAATCATAGAGACCTTGGTGGGAACAGTAACATTGGCTTTCCTGTTAAGTAATACCATCACGTGATCACTTAATCCTAATGGAACAACTATGGAGGCTGTAATTTTGTCTGGATGCGAAGAAAAGGCAAGATCGATACATGTGCTACTAGTTGGTGCGACTCTCGTAGGTCTATCAACCATTTGCTGAACTTGCAATTCGTAACAAAAATCATCAATTTTAACACGATCAACATCGTCAAAAATATTAAGGTTGAAGTCTCCCACTAAAAGTAATTCCCGACACTCAAGATTAATTTATATATCGTACTTTTAAGATTGAGCATGTGTTGTTCCAGTTTACTTGGGAGGTAAACAACACCTAGCACAATCGGGTTACAGTTCTTCAGGTTAACCTCTAACCAGCAAGATTCAACATCACTTTGAATCTCTGACATGACACGGTACTGAATGGTATTTAAGATATAATATGCAACCTCGCCATGCTTGTCTGGACCCTTACGATCGGTTCGCATTATGGTGTAGCCTTGTATGTGAATTGGAATGGAGTTGGAATGGAAAATTGTCGTGACCTCTTCCTAGGTTTCTGAGCTAGTTTGTGAAAATCCTGATGTTTCCTCGTACGACCACAAACCACGTAGAACATTGATGGGTTTACCGACAGGGAGCGAATGATGGGGTGTTGGGCAAGTTCCGTGGTTGATGAGGATGCGACATCTCCTCCCGTGTTGTGTTGGGGTATAGATGTTGGATGAGGTTTTTCGCGAAAGCTGACTGACCTTACTTGTTGAGGTGAACACCGTCCGAGCTCAGGTGTCTGTCCCTGATGTTACCATTGTCTATGAATCCCCAAGCTTGCTGAAGGGCAGAGTCCTTCAAGAGACAGTTTAGAAGGACGATTTTTTTCTTGGGAGGATCTGGTTTCTCCGTGGCGATATATGATACCAGATAGTGTTACATGCTCAATAGTATTTTCGGATAATAAAGTTTCTGCTACAGACACAATTTTGTCCCGGATCTCTTCTGCGTTATCTGTGGTATTATTTGTGGCGACGTAGAGAATAACCTCGGTGGGCAAATGTTTTTTTAATTTGTTGGCTGGCAAGAGGTGAGATATCAGAAACTTTGGCTCCAGACTTGGCAACGGATTTACACATTTTGTCTTGCTTAACCGCTGTCCTGATATGATCACATGTTCGGCTTCAAGTATAGAATCGCTGTCCCTCATGGCGTCCGTCGACAGCACACTAAAACGACTTCCTGTTATGACTGACAGAGGTTTCGGGAAGGAATTGACGGGGTGTTCCAGCCATTGTCATTATTAAATGGGGCATTGATAGCCTACATTAGAATATCAATGTAGTCTGCTGGTTGCTCTTCTCAACTTCCATGGATTGCAGCCTTTCTCTGTCAGAAGACGCACAAACTTTGTCAGAAATTATTGCAATTTTGACTGAAAATTTCTCATCAAGCAATTTGATGTCCTTTCGCAGCTGATTGACAGCTTCAAGAATGGTATCGTGGGTGACTCGATGGCTCTATTATGTGCCGTAAGTGAGGGTGACATGGCCGTCTTTTCTGACTGCCCTGCAGTAAACCTCAGGCAAGATTGTGGAAAGCCTTGACGATGACCAAATATATAGAAGCAAAGTTCCCTCAAGTCATCGGCTGCATTTCTGGTGATCGTCTTGTTTTCAATTTGAGATCAAAAATACTTGCACTGCTGTTGACAATGGACGCTCTCGCCTCGTCGCCATCTTGTTTGGCTTCCTCTAGGCATTTAGCTTTTGCAGATTCAAAACGTTCTTGTCTTGCCTCAAGGAGCTCGTCGAGAAAAAATCACTGACTAGAGTGGTCTTGGTTGAAATTGCTGAAGCCTCAGTAATGTTTAAGAGGATTGCCTGGATTCTCTTATAAATTTTGGGGAGACTTTTGAGAGCTCTGTCATGCACGCCCATCACGTCTAAGTGATGTTCAGACCATGGGGTTGTATGGTGTGGCGGCGTTTGATCCTAAGCTTCTCCACATTGAAGCGAACAGCATCTTTACGGCGCCCAAGTGATTGTATGCCCAGTAAGATCATGTCAGACATAGAATGGTTTGGAAGGTTGAAGTGGTGGCCCACTTCGTTTGGTGTTGACTGTCGATCTATGGCCATAGAACCGCTTCTTGAGAGTGTTCTTAGTCGCTCCAACATACTGAACACTGCACACGCTGCAAGAGGTGAGATATATGACATTAGAAGAGCTACAAGTGATAGTGCCTAGTGCGTTTGGTTCTGTGGGTGGTCCCGGAGGAGTGTCATTGTAGTCAGTAAGCACTTTGCAGCATATCTCTCATAGGAATAATTTAAAATAGAAATACATATATCTCTATTCCGGGAATAAATGTTAACTTGGCACGTTTAGGAATAGAGATACGCGGATTAAAATGTTAAGTTGCACGCTACATACGCGTGACATAATGTTCATGCACATGTGCTAGGGCGGATGCGATGATTTCGACGTCTCGATACTGCACTGGTCAGTGTCCACACTCAGCAGCGGAAGTGATGAACAGAAAATGTCACTAATTTAACGATTGTACCTTTTAAGTGCTATCAGTACTAGCAAGATCGATGCAATTTAACAGAAAATCGCCACCCTTGCGTTGGATATACCATTTTGGTAATTAAAATACTCGTAGACACAAAAATGGCTTTGAATTTTCGTGCACCTTTGGATCGATACAATTTTGGGGTGATACAAAATGACCTGGTTATAAAATGTTTTATTTTTAAAATAAATGTCTGAAATCACTGCATTAAACCTAACTCCCTAGGGTGTGTGCAAAATCATATTAAATTTGAGGATTCAGGACTGTCAGGGTTCATTAAGGGTGAATCTTTAATTTGGTGCTAGATTTTTGTCTGAGCAATTGTTTTTGCTATTAAAAATTAATTGATAAAATTAGTGAAAAATTTTGCAATTTCGATTTTTTGGTTGTTAGAAAAGGGTCCATAAAATCCACTTTTTATACTGTTCTGAGATTTACCGTTATTTAAAAATCTTACTCATGGAGGAAAATTTTGCGTTGTTCGTGGTGTCGTGCTTAGATCCTTCCGAAATTTATTTATGCTTCTACACTTTGGTATTTTACGAGGTCAGTCGTCGAAAATAACGCCGTCTGCTCGCACGAAAAACCGTTGTTGTCCGCTTGTAATGAACTGTGTCTCTATGGGGCATGACCATACGTCCTCCACGTTCAGGATAGCCCTCCTCATCCAATTGCCGTGTTTTGACGTAACGAGCATTCCAGAAAGAGCACTGTGTCTATTTAAACGTTGCGCGAAAACAGTTACAATAAAGTGACACACATTCTGGGTGATAGACTTGTTACGTTGCATGAGGGGAACGTTTCTCAAGGGGGAGGGGTTACCGTTGTGCAGGGGGACATACTTACCCGGACACTTTTACTGGGTGAGATCGGGGGAGGGTTACGTTTTACACCGGCATGTGGTATTATGTGTGTGTGCGTGCACTTTGTCGGTATTTAAAGATATTCCGATTGTCAATACCGATTGTATAGGCGTTGCACAGCAATGATTGATTGGCATCCATCGAAGGACGCTGATGAAAACAGCTGCGTATAACGGCTAAGACCGGCGTACGTAATAAATTCAACAAGATTGAGCGTCCCAGTGACACCAATGATTAGAATAATCTGACATAGTATGGTATTTCACATTACTATAAGCCTTGATTTTTTAGGGAAGGCAACTTTCAGTCATAATTTTCAATCTGAAACTGGTGTACCTTTTTCCTCCCTTTTCCAGAAATAATTTCAACTGTATGCCCGCCGACATCGCCATCTCAGAGTGTAAGTACGACTGGGCCGACATGGGAGACGAGACATCGAGCCTGATAACAATTCACAGTCGTTTTGGATAAGTGCAGTGTCGACAAAAGGCCAACAGAACAAGCAGATTTTGAGCTGCTCGTCTCATAATTACATGTACTAGGATAAACGCTAGTTGTTCACGGTTCACATACGGAAACAATCAGTACCGGTACTATAACTCTTGTTAACCTGATATGCTAGCCATGTTCGACGCTTTCCATGTTTACGAAGGCATCTGTAATTGACGACAAGACAATCCGATTAAAATCCCTTTCATGAAGAGCATCGCTTTGACCAAAGGCTAATCTGGTGATTAACTAACGCGGTGCGTGAGCCTTTAAGAGCAATTGAAGCAGATCAGGTTAAAGCCAATTAGCCTACTTTTAACCCAAAGAGATCTGTGCAGATTGATTTTCTTGGTTTTACCAGCTTTTCTGTACCTCACCGGCAAGTATCCGGATGTTGCACTCTGCAAAAAACACTTCATAATCGAACCCTAAGAAAAGTTACTGCATATGAATCCTATGTACTGATGCCAATATTTTATTTTATTTTTTACTTAATCGCAACTTTGGAAACCTGAAAAGATGGCCTCAAATACTTCAGTGAAACTCACTGGTGATTCTGATCAAGCTGACCGAGGGAAAGGTGCAGCCGCAGCTTGGGAAGGAAAGACGTCCTCACTTATCCGAAACAGTTCGAGAGTTTCGGAGAAGGATGAATTTGAAAGGGACTCAGGAGATCTCTCTGTGTGCTTCTTATGTGAGGGAAATCTGAGGAATCCAAAACTTCTTCCTTGTTTGCATTCGTTCTGCAAAGACTGCCTTTTAAAACTGGTCCGAGAAAATGAAACATCGGCTCCTATTCCGTGCCCACTATGCCGCGATGGAAATTCTGCAATTATTGACGATGTGGAGAGGCTCGTAGACAACACTTTGATGTCGTCACTACAGGAACTTAAACTGGTGAAAGGTGAGCCCGACATGAATCTAGAGCAAGATGATATATCTACTTGTGAAGTAAAGTGCACCTCATGTCGCCGTTCGAATCCAGCAACCTGTCGCTGTACCTATTGCCAAGACTTTCTTTGTGAAACGTGCAGACTATCTCACCAGAGATTGAAAATTTTACAGCACCACGAATTGATTAAACTAGATGCATGGATACAACAGACTTCAAAAGTTGAATACAAGTTCTGTCCTCAGCACAGTGGAGAGCCCATATCTTTTTACTGTCAGCCGTGTAAGGTGCTAGCATGCAAGGACTGCATCGATCTCGACCACCAAAATCCACATCATAACACATGTTCTTTGTTGGAAGGAGCAGTATTATGCCGACGCACAATTGATAAACTTCTCACAGTTTCGAGACAGACAGAAGCAAAATTCAAAGGGGCCTGGGAAATTTTAAATTCCATGAAAGCAGAGCTTACAGAAACGACGAACAGTTTGCGTCATGAAGTTCGAGATGCATTCAAAAGCGAGAGAGACATTCTTGATGAGAGAGAAAAAGAGTTCCTGACTAAAATTGACGTCATCGAGAAGCAGCGAGAGGACACTGTAAACACACATATAGATCGAGTAGAAACTATTCTCGAGAAATTGTGGACAGCATTTGACATGGCAGAAATTTTAATGGAGAATGGAAATGATTTTCACGTCCTTAGCTTGGAGCCAATCGTTTGTAAAAGGCTTCAGTCACTGTACAAAATGAGCCCTGAGCTCCCCAACTCCAATCTGACACTAATTGATCTAACGGAAGAACAGAAAACAGACCCAGAAGAGCCAAACTCAGTCCCCCAGGCCCAAGCAAAAGATATGATAGACACACCTGTTTGGGAACTTGAAACAAGTTTAGGAGATCGAGGTAGCGGAAAAGGTCAGTTTGATTGGTGCAAGGGCGTGGCGGCTTCTCTAGACAGTCACGCTGTTGTTGCTGATTGGGGGAATGATCGTGTACAAGTTTTTGACGAGAAGCGGCAATTTGTATGTGTCCTTAACTCGACTAATCATGAAGAAGGCAAGCTTTCAATGCCTCATGACGTAGCTTGTCTTCTCGATGGTCGTTTTGTTGTAATTGATAAGTCTAACTATGCTAAAATTTACTGTCCGAAGGGAAACTTTCTGGATCGGTTTTTGACACTTTCAGAGGATGACACTCCAATGTCGGCCGTTGAACTTAGCTGTGTTACTGTAGACCGGCGCAGTCGCATCCTGATTGGTGACTGCAAACGAAATTTAATAACGGTTCACTACGTGGACGGAAAGATGATAAAAACTATTCCAGCTGTAGGCCCTGAGCACATAACAACAACTTCCAAGGACCTTCTCGTTGTCAGCTGCCCACGAAAGCAGAAAGTCCGAGTGATGAACCATGACGGGCGATTTATATTTCAAATAGAAACTTATGGAGCTGGCGAGAAGTTGAAACCAAGAGGTGTTGCTTGCGACGATGAAGATAACATTTACGTGGTTCACAAGGAAAGGGGCGGAGAAAAATCTGTCCACGTATTTGACAGCAATGGAGAATATGTTGCTTGCGTGGCCAAGAATCTCAGAGAGCCGTATGATGTTGACATTGCCCCGGGGGGCAGAGTTATCGTTTCCGACGATGATGCGCTCAAAATCTTCACACGGAGAGACAAGGAGTAACAGTTATGACCATGTCATATAACATTTTGCGAATTCAAGATCAATCGAGGTGAATTTGAGGTGTATTTTTACAGTGCCCGCGCCAGAGTTGTGTTTGCAAGAATGAAATCCCTAATATTCCCGAAGAACCATACAAAATGTCGCCCCTCCAAATGATGAAATCTCATCAGAAACTGGACAAATTGAGTGTGACTTCACTGTGGACCAGAAAGTGTAGTGCAAACAAAATAACGGAGTACGTGCGCGTGTTGGTTCACGTCCTGATTCTCACTCCAATGCCTTTTATACACGCACTTGTGCGCGTGACGTAATCACTTCGGTACTATATCCGGTTCCTAAGTGTGTTGTCACTTCAGTTTAAACTACGCCAACTGCACATGCACAGCACATAGAGTTACATGCCTTGATTGCCGTTTACATGGAACCGAAAGTTAACGCGCAACTTCAGCGAACTCCACCAAATGGTTGTATTTCTGCGCGCGAGCTCATATTTTGTGATCCCGTGGAGTTTTTACAATAAGACATACCATAATCAGGAGGCTTCATAGAAATATTTCTATAAATCCCGAATTTGGGACTGATAGTTCCAGTTTGGGGTATTTCTTTCACAAAAAACCACAAATTGCGGACCTATTTTGGATAGAGGCGGGCGGCCACTACATTCAGAAATGTGAGCTCAGAAGGAGGAGAAGAAGACTCAGAAGTTTTACTGCTATTTTGAGGGGGGGTATCTTCCTTCAAAGAAATGAAATTGAAACGAAGAGTGATCTTCTGGCCAAAATATTAAATTTCCAGTGAAGAAACGGAGGCCAACCTCTTCACGAGAGTCAACAGGCAGCGCTATTTCGGTCCGATGTTTCACTGTTTTCTATGGGCGCGTATTTGTTGTAATGCAACCCAATAGAGTACCGAAGTGAATACGTCACGCGCACAATTAGTGTGTAAAAGGCGAGAACGCGAGAACCAACACTTGCGCGTACTCCATTCGTTTGCACTGCACTTTCTGGTTCACAGTGACGTCACACTTCAGTACTCAGCCTGCAAATCGTTAATTGCGCGTCCGCCTTTGTGACGAAGTCACGAACTGGATAAGCATTAATACAATGGAAGCCCTATCAGTCCTGCCTTAAGCGCGGACTTGCGCGCGTGCTTTGTTCCCCCCCCCCGAATGGCCGTCCCGCAGCAACCTCGTTCCGATGGAAACGATCTTGCCGCACTATGTTGGCTCCCACCAAGCCTTGCACGATTTAACCCCTAGTTTTGTGTAATTTAAATATTCCACTAGTTGGGATATTTTAATTAGGACTTTAGTCAGCGTGTTAATGAGCGATACAAATTTACGCGTGCATGATGTCAAGAGAAGACGTTGGCGCGAAGGTGCAGATCTTGAAATACGCATGCGACTGATTTTACGATCATGTATATTCATCCACAATAGCCAATCAGTGTCATTTTCGTATTCTACACGACTAGTGACGGAATGTGCACGCAGAGTCCACGGAGTCGAGGATGGTCCTGCAGCAACCCCGACTCCAAGAGCTGCGTGCGCGTTCCTTCACTAGCCCCGGTAGAATGAGATGTCTCACGGTGAGTGTGAAATGCGGATATGTCGCCCTAGTGTGATCGTTCTGGGTCAATAAACGGACAGTATCCAAGACAGAAGTATGATAACCCTAATTTAAATATCCCCCAAATTTAAATTATACAATATCAGGGGTAAGATCGCGCAACATAAGGTGGGAACATGGCGCAGCACAATAAGTTCAAGTTCATGTTCAGATAAAGACGGAAATCATACTGTAGTACTCACAGACGTCATATACCCAGAACTGTGGGGGCCGACGTCCGCTCCCACGAACCCCACAGTATCAAGAAAAAACGGGCCAAAATCATGCCGTTTTCAAAAAAAAAGTTCAAATATTTCCTGATCAGTGTCCGAGAGGCGAAGACGATTCGCGACCAAATGGTTGACTACGGCTGCGATCGACAGACAAAAGATGGAAATTGGCTGCAGTCGCTTCCTCACGTGAATGTGTAATTCTTAGCCGTGCTGGATGAAATGAGAGTCGGCGGCGGCGCACTGGAGGTCACGCTGACCAATCACAGGGCTCCTCATTATTCATGCCCAAATTGCAGGAACGACAAGCAACAGCCGTTGGGTGCAATGATCTTTGTCCGCATCCACGGCCTCGACAGAAAGTCGAAGAACGAAGGTATGTAAGCTATCTTACATGGACCCCGGGCGGGGGGGGGGTGGAGCCGCATTTCAATGGGTACACAACTAGAATAAAATCCCTGTTCGTGCCCTGTTAAACGTCATAAAGAGCCTGTGGCGAAAAGGGCTCTTTTTCTGAGGAGCGGAGGTCGTACCACACAGTTCTGGGGTACAGATGCCATTGTTTCTCAGCTGCTAAATTTTCCGTGTAATGATCGTCGAGTGCAGATGTACATAGCAACAGGGTTTCAGTCGTCTGGTGCGGACATGCATTTTGGGCCTTCACTTTAATAGCTACAGTCCTGTGGACTTACGTCCACAGGACGTTTCCCCTTCTCTGATAAAGAAGTTCAATAGAGGCATTTTGGGGTGTAGGGGTCATCTGTCGGAAGAGGAATAGTCAAGGAAACTTGTACAAAAAGCCAGCTGAAAATCGTGTTCCCAGTTCAAGCAAAATGAGTATTTTCACTGAGTTTTCTTAACTGCACGAAAAGAAAGGAATGTCCACAGTAGGTATGTAAGGTAAGTGTGGGTGTGTTACATGTGTTTGACCCAGGCCACGGTGAATGACCTCACTGTAGTCCACAATATTGTAGTTGTAGTTGTGTGTTCCGGAAGTTTTCTGTAAGATTACGTTATTTCTAGTTGTCTTGTAAGATTAAGTAATGCTAAAACGTCTATTTTAAGAGGCTACGTAATGAAAAGAAATTTCTAGAAGAGTTGTAGGCTATAAAGGACAGACTCCGGCAGAAAACGCATGTTCACCCAGCACTGCCGGTGTATCAGTTCAGAAATATATGGGATTGTATGGGGCAGCGCGTGACAGGGGTAGCCATGATCCGGTCCTGTCCCCCGCAATACGGCTTCAAATTTTGACCAAAAGAGGCAGCGGTGGAGAGCCGTAGCCAGTGTTCAATACTTGTGCATGCCGTAGTCTCACATGGAGAAGCCGCACCCAGTTTGCCAACATAGAGTACAACATAAACCGTTGAAAATATTTCTTGGAGAGGTCTTCCTGAAGATATATCCCACATATATATTTCCAATAGACGTTTGTAATGACACACATGATGAAGCCAGAAGTGCAAAAGTTTTTTTAAGAGATACATGTATTGAGCCATTTCATTCAACAGTGTCATTAGAAATGAGTATCGTTCCTTGACATACCATAAACTGAGTTAAACACCATTTAAAACCCTACTAAGTTCTGCACTATTCGAATATCAACTGGACTTTCGGTCAAGCAATGTATTGTTGCAACAGAATAAAATCACAGCGAACCTGATTTTTAAGTTCGTGAACCTGGCTTAAAAAACTTTTGCAAGCCAATGGCCATAAAGATGGCCTTTAGTTGAATGATGGTTTCATATTTATGTGTTTCACATTCTTGTGAAAACCCAGATTGCAAGAATATCATGATTTGTTTTGCACGAAGAGAGGAAATAAACGAATTTTCACTGCTCGAAAAAGGCTACTGCATATTTGATTACATAAGACATTGATTGACAAAACAATCCATCAAACATCTTGTTTCCATCACAAAAGCTCACAGGCGTTCCAGTGTACGACCCTGAACAATAAGCAAAACTAAGTTGAGGAAGGAAACATACGTGCCTCGTCGCCATTGGCACGATCTTGCTGAGCCATGTTGGTTCTCACCAAGCCTTGCGCGATCTAACCCCTGGTACGTGTATTTTATAATTTAAATATCCCAGTGATTGGGATAGGCCTATTCAAGTTAGATCCATTGATCCCCTTTATATAGAGATCAATGGTTAGACCATTGATCTCCATTATAGGCTGGATAGGACATCGCGCATTGTTTGTTCACAAAATGCGCGGCCGAACAATGGCGGCGCTTGAGGAGGGTAATTTGATGCTGTATACTGTGCATTTCTGGTCAACATAACCTTTATCACATGGGATGATGGCTAAGCCCTCAGCCTCCCTCCCGAAAACAAGCCAAATAAACGGAAAATCCAAGAATATCATTTCCGGAAATAACTGACCATCTTCTTATTAACTAACCCATTCGAAAGCGATAATGTTAACCTGTTTTTGTGTGTCTGTTTTTAATTCCTTTTTAAAACCTATTGTCTACGGTCTCGCTTTAGCAATATTTCCACTTTGGGTCTTTGTTCAGTGTGTAAAACTTTGAGAATTCCACCTGGACATGCAACAGGTTTTGTCAGTAAATAAGATGTCCAAACTGTCACTGTGCTTTTCCGTCTGGTTTCGATGAGCCAAAACTTAAAAAATCATCAATAAAATGATTTTAATTTTACACACTCTCAGAAAAAATTGTACTAAATAAAATTCATTCATATATTGAGTTAATTCTATTGAAAACCGCTGTGCGGCATACGGAAGTGTGAGAATCTTTTCTGTGAGCACAAAGTA